AATTAACAGCTCGTGCGCAGATGCCGTGGGAGGACACGGTGCTGCTGTGGCAGGGAGCCTGGGCAGGGTAATTACGGCCGCCCCACATCAGCTGTGCCAAGCAGAGCCAGTGCTAGCAGCCAGCACCCAAACACGGCCGCGAGCACATGTGGGCGATGATTTCCCAGCCTCCACCACCACCATCACCATGGCGGGGACCATCTGCGTGCGGGTTCCCACGCTTGGAGATGGGTGGGCAACACATGTAGGCCTCGTCCCGCGCTTGCGTGTGGGGTCCCAGCAGCCTTGCACACGTGTGGGCGGGGGGCATTTGCACCAACCGGCACCCGTGCCTGGCTCAGGGCTGTTGCCTGGCGTGTTGCAGCTCCTGGGGCTTAGCAAAGGTGGGAGCGGGGAAGAGCTGGAAGCACGTGGCCAAGCCACAGCAACAGCATCCCTGCGGCAGAGGGAAGACACCTGGTTGTCTCTGCCTCCTCACTGTGCCATCATTCCCTGCCCTGGGTGTCTCAGGATCCTGTTGGCCGTGGGCAGGATTCAACTATGCTGCTGGGCAGCTTTGCGGCTCTGCCTGCAAGCAGCAAGCCAGGGGAACCACAGGGAGATTTCCTGCTGCTTTGCAGGTCCCCGAATTGATGAGCATGGGCCAGATCCTGGCATCATCCTGCCCAGGATGTGGAGGAGAGGATGCAGAGGGGTTAGACTCGTAGAGAAGAGCCAAAAGAGGGGTGTAGGTCCCATCTCTCAGCACACCAGTCCCCAATAACCTCTCTGGTACTCCTGATCCCCAGCATGCCGGCAGCATTTCCTCACAGCACTGTGGGGCTCCGGATTGCCCGTCCTCAGCCATCCTGTAATGTGGCAGGGCAGCCCGGGCAGCAGTGGAGCGGCTCGTGTATGGACCTGCTGTAATCCCCCCAAAATGAGGTTCCTCTGTGTATTTACGGTGTGGTTGTCCCCCTGCTCTGCACCACTGTCAGAGGCACTGCAGTTGGTGCCACTGTGTGCCTGAAGTCTGGACAGCATCATTCCTGTCACAACTTGTGCCTGTTCTCAGCCTGACTAACAACCTGGTCCTTGATAGAGCTGCACAGCTGGACCCTGCCCACATCCAGAAGCCAAATGGCTTCACCCCAAGTTCCATCTCCTTCTACTGCCTTTGCACAGGCTCTCATGCTCTCCAGATATCCCAAACCTTCTCTGCGCTCTCCAGGACCCCATTTCCACCATGCCCTGCCTGATCCAAAGGCTGTGTGAGGTGAGACATCACCCCCACACAGATTCTGGCTCAACTCAGGGTCCTGCCATGCTTGACAAGAGTCTTCCTTCTCCTGGGGACACTTGGATGTGGGGAGGGGGCACCAGAAGCACCCTTGTCCCATAGCAGCCCTGCTATCTGAGGAACCCCTGCGTCCCTGTGTGTCCCTGGAGGAAGGTGTCCCTGCTGCTATTTGTGCCCCCTGAGGCACCTGACATTTGTGACCTGGTGCCACTGCCTGGCTCACCTTGACCTGAGGTGCCAGGACCTCGTCCTTGCTGCCGGGTGGCAACATGGGGGGCTATTTTTATGTTGCTACCGTGGAGGAACTAAATTTGGGCACGGGCCAGAGCTGTGTTCAAACGCCTGGCTCCGCTGAGCCCTGCTGGAACTGGGGCTGTCACAGTGGGTGGTGGGCACCTTCCCACCCGCTTCACTTCCCTTGCCCTGACACCTTGCACTCCTGCTCTGTCCCCTGGGCGGCTCCCATTCCCCGTGCTGTTCTGATGAGGATATACTGCTTCCTACTTCATCCCTGCAGCAAAACACTGAGTCAGAAAACACTTCATCCCCCCAGAACCTGTGAACTCATCTTTCCAGCCCCACAGTGGGGAAACTGAGGAACCGAGGCAAGGCTGGTGCGTGTGGAGCGAGGGTCAGCCTGTTTTAGGCAGGGATGGGGGCACTGGTGAGACAGAGCTGGTGGCCAGCACCATCCCAGGAGAAGAAAAGGAGGGCAGAGCATCACAAAGCAAACAGGGCCACCAATGCCTGCATGTCTCCAAAATCTCCTCTCCCCACGTGGCTTGCGGCGTGTTACGGGTGTTACGGGGTTTGGCTGTGAGGTCGGCGTTGGGTGCGGGGCGGCGGGTAGTGCTTAGGTGGGTGTATCGCAGTGTGGCGGGGGCGTTGTGGTGGCTGGGAGGGCAGGATGGATGCGGCGGGGAGTGGCGCGGGGCGGATGCGTTACAGGGTGGATGTGTCAGTGGTGGATGTGTTACGGGGTAGATGTATTACGGCATGGCTAGCGGTGCGGGGTGGGTGTTACGGCCCAGCACAGGGTGTGCAGGCTGGGGTTGCTGCTGATGCT